GGGGCAGGTGAGGGGTCCCACAGCTCGCAGGGACACTGGGAATGGGATGGAGTTTGCCTTGACCCTGCTGCCGTTCCCATTATCCAGAGAGTGGGCAGGCGAGGGATCTCCCGTCCCCCCGGGATGTTGGGAATGGGGCTGAGCTCGCCCTGACCCCGCTCCCGTTCCCATGATCCAGAGGGTGAGGGGTCCCCCAGCACACCGGGATGTTGGGAATGGGACAGAGCTCACCCTGACCCCGCTCCCGTTCCCATTATCCAGAGGGTGAGGGGTCCCCCGGGATGTTGGGAATGGGGCGGAGCTCGCCCCGACCCCGCTCCCGTTCCCATTATCCAGAGGGTGAGGGTTTCCCATTATCCAGAGGTGAGGGGTCCCCCAGCACACTGGGATGTTGGGAATGGGGTGCATCTCACCCTGACCCCGCTCCCGTTCCCATTATCCAGAGGGTGGGCAGGTGAGGGATCCCCCGTCCCCCCGGGATGTTGGGAATGGGGCTGAGCTCTCCCCGCCCCCTCTCGTGCCGGCAGCTGGAGGAATTCCTGAACCACTCGTCGCCCTTCTCCATCTGGGTGAACGGGGAGCGCCTGGACTCGCTGCTGGAGCGGGACGAGCGGCAGGAGCGGCAGCTCGAGGACCTGGAGGAGCGCTTCGGGCTGCTGGAGGACGGCATCGACGGCCTCTTCCAGGACAGCTTCCAGCTCCACGGCCGCGCCCTCCCGTTCTTCCAGGCGCCCTTCGGGGGCTTCCGCGAGTCCTTCCGCGACCCCCTCCCCGCGCAGCGCGTGCGGCTCTTCCCGCAGCGCCGCTTTTCCCGGGATCTGCACGCGCCGTTCCTGCGGCACCACCCGCACCGCGGCTTCCAGCACCTCTTCCAGCCGCTGCTGGACATGACCCAGCGCATGCTGGAGGACGCCCGAGGGAGCTGGGAGCGCCCCTGGGGGGATTTGGGGCCGGGTAAGGAGGGGTGAGGTTGGTGGGTGAGATTCCCAGAAATCCAAACACCTCACCCCCGTCCCGGCTCCCTCCTCCTCCTCCTCCTGCCGCTTGTTTGGGTTTGAGGGGATGAGCCTGGGATGGGGTTTGGGAATGGTCTGGGATGGGGTTTGGGGATGGTCTCGGATGGGGTTTGGGGGATGGTCTGGGATGGAGTTTTGGGATTTCTTGGTTGGGATTTTGGGATGTTCTGGGATGGAGTTTTGGGATGTTCTGGGATGGGGTTTGGGGATGGTCTGGGATGGGGTTCGGGATGTTCTGGGATGGAGTTTTGGGATGTTCTGGGATGGGGTTTGGGGATGGTCTGGGATGTTCCAGGCTGGGGTTTTGGGATGTTCTGGGATGGGGTTTTGGGATGTTCTGGGCTGGGGTTTTGGGATGTTCTGGGATGGGGTTTTGGGATGTTCTGGGCTGGTGTTTTGGAATGTTCTGGACTGGGTTGGTAAATTTAGGGTAGGGGTTTTTGGGATGTTCTGGGCTGGGGTTTTTGGGATGTTCTGGGCTGGGATTTTTGGGATGTTTTGGGGTATTCTGGGCTGGGTTGGGATATTTGGGGTTGAGTTTTTTGGGATATTCTGGGCTGGTTTTTGAGAGATATTTAGGAGCTGGGGTTTTAGGATGTTCTGAGATGAGATTTTGGGATTTCTTGAGTTGGGATTTTGGGATGTTCTAGAGATGGAGTTTTAGGATGTTCTGGGATAGGAGGTTTAGGGATGGTCTAGAGATGTTCCAGGCTGGGTTTTAGGGATGTTCTGGGATGAGGTTTTGAGATGTTCTGGGCTGGGGTTTTGGGATGTTCTGGGCTGGCGTTTTTGGGATGTTCTGGGCTGAGATTTGAGGATGTTCTGGGCTGGGATTGGAGATATTTAGAGCTGAGGGTTTAGAGATGTTCTGGGCTGGCGTTTTTGGGATGTTCTGGGCTGGGGTTTGGGGGATGTTCTGGGATGTTCCAAGCTGGGGTTTTGGGATGTTCTGGGATGGGGTTTTGGGATGTTCTGGGCTGGGGTTTTTGGGATGATCTGGGCTGGGGTTTTTGGGGTATTCTGGGATGGGATTTTGGGATGTTCTGGGATGGGGGTTTTGGGATGTTCTGGGATGGGGTTTTGACATGTTCTGGAATGGGGATGCTCTGGGCTGGTGTTTTTGGGATATTCTCCCCCGCCCCCCACCCCAGTCCGGGCTGCCCTCCCGGGAAGGTGTTTGTTTTGGGATCGACGCCGGCTGCAAACGCCGCCCTTGGAGAGCTCAACATTCCATGGGAAAAGGATTTTTATGGCCCCTGGGGGGGGTTGGTTGGGAATAACCCAGGGCTGGGGGGACCCCTCCTCACCCCGAGGGGGTTTTGGGGGGGGTTGGGATTCCCACAGAGTCCCGGAACTTCAGCAACGACCGCATGGTGTGCAAGGAGATCCGCAGGAATTCCGCCGGCTGCCTCAGGATGAGGGACGAGTGCGAGAAGTGCCGGGACATCCTGGCTGTGGGTGAGCCGGGAATGCCGCGGGAATGGGGTGGGATGGGGTAGGAATGCGTGGGAATGGGGTGGGGATGAGAGTGGGAATGGAGAGTGGGATGGGATGGGGTGGGATGGGATGGGGTGGGATGGGATGGGAAGGGATGGGATGGGATGGGATGGGATGGGATGGGATAGGGATGGGATGGGATGGGGTGGGGTGGGATGGGGTGGGATGGGATGGGATGGGATACAGGGATGGGATGGGATGGGATGGGATGGGATGGGATGGGGTGGGATGGGATGGGATGGGATGGATGATGGGATGGGATGGGGATGGGGAATGTTTGGGGGATGAGATAAAGGGAAGGGGGATATGGGGGTGCAGGAACCGGGAGCAGGACGGGTGAATGAGCTGGGATGATGGGGTGGGGGTAGGAATGGGATGGGATGGGATGGGATGGGATGGGATGGGATGGGATGGGATGGGATGGGATGGGATGGATGTGCTGGGATGGGATGGGATGTGTGATGGGATGGATGATGGATGGGATGGATGGGATGGGATGATGACATGGGATGATGGGATGATGGGATGGGATGGGATGCCTCCCCGCTCCTCTGCCCCCTGCCTTCCCAGACTGCGGGCAGGACTCGCTGTCGCAGGGGCTGCGGGATGGGATGGGATGGGATGTGCTGGATACACTCCTCTCTGTGCTGACCCCTGCCCCCCCCTTTTCCCAGACTGCGGGCAGGAGTCGCCGTCGCAGGGGAGCTGCGGAGCAGCTGGAGGACGCGGTGCGGGTGGCCGAGCGCTTCACCCGGCGCTACGACGACCTGCTGGGCGCCCTGGAGGCCGAGCTGCTCAACAGCACCGCGACCCTGCAGCGCCTGAGCCGCCAGTTCTGGCTGGGTCAGCCGCCTGGCCAACCTCACCCGAGCCGGGGACAGCGACACCGCCCTGCGAGTCACCACGGTGAGAGCCAAGGGTGTGTGGGTACAGGGGTGGGGTACAGGGATGGGATACAGGGATGGGATACAGGGATGGGATACAGGGATGGGATACAGGGATGGGATGGGGTGGGATACAGGGATGGGATGGGCAGGGATACAGGGATGGGATACAGGATGGGATACAGGGATGGGATACAGGGATGGGGATACAGGGATGGGATACAGGGATGGGGACAGGGATGGGGTACAGGGATGGGGTGGGATACAGAGATGGATGGATAGGGATGGGATGGGATAGGGATGGGACAGGGATGGGATGGGATGGGATGGGATACAGGGATGGGATACAGGGATGGGATGGGATGGGATGGGATGGGATGGGATGGGATGGGATACAGGGATGGGATGGGATGGGATGGGATGGGATGGGATGGGATGGAATGGGATGGGATACAGGGATGGGATGGGATGGATGGGATACAGGGATGGGGTGGGGTGGGATACAGGGATGGGATGGGATGGATGGGATGGAGGGTGGGGTAGAGTGGGATGGGATGGGAGGGGATGGGATGGGATGGGATGGGAATGAGGTGGGGGCACCGCCGGGGCACGGGGCTGCCACGGCCGCGGGGCTCCGCCCTGCAGCCAGGACACCCGGCGGGGAGCCCCCAAATCCATCCTGATCCACCCAGCTGGGAACCCCAAATCCATCCTGATCCACCCAGCTGGGAACCTAAATCCATCCTGATCCACCTGACAGGGAACCCCAAATCCATCCTGATCCACCCAGCTGAGCCCCAAATCCATCCTGATCCACCCAGCTGGGAACACAAATCCATCCTGATCCACCCAGCCCAACCCTAACCCCAAATCCATCCTGATCCACCTGGCCAGGAAACCCAAATCCATCCTGATCCACCCAGCCCAGCCCTAACCCCAAATCCATCCTGATCCCCCAGCTGGGAAGCCCAATCCATCCTGATTCACCTGTCTAGGAACCCCAAATTCATCCTGATCTACCCACCCGGAAATCCCAAATCCATCCTGATCCACCCAGCCCAACCCTAACCCCAAATCCATCCTGATCCACCCAGCCCAACCCTAACCCCAAATCCATCCTGATCCACCTGGCCAGGAAACCCAAATCCATCCTGATCCACCCAGCCCAACCCTAACCCCAAATCCATCCTGATCCACCCAGCCCAACCCTAACCCCAAATCCATCCTGATCCCCCCAGCTGGGAAGCCCAAATCCATCCTGATTCACCTGTCTAGGAACCCCAAATTCATCCTGATCTACCCACCCGGAAATCCCAAATCCATCCTGATCCACCCAGCCCAACCCTAACCCCAAATCCATCCTGATCCACCCAGCCCAACCCTAACCCCAAATCCATCCTGATCCACCTGGCCAGGAAACCCAAATCCATCCTGATCCACCCAGCCCAACCCTAACCCCAAATCCATCCTGATCCACCCAGCCCAACCCTAACCCCAAATCCATCCTGATCCACCTGGCCAGGAACCCCAAATCCATCCTGATCCACCCAGCTGAGCCCTAAACCCCAAATCTATCCGGGTCCACCCCGCTGGGAACCCAAATCCCTCCTGATCCCCCCAGCTCGGAACCCCAACCCCAAACCCATCCTGATTCACCCAGCTGGGAACCTAAATCCATCCTGATCCACCTGGCCAGGAACCCCAAACCCAAATCCATCCTGATCCACCTGGCCAGGAACCCTGAATCCATCCTGATCCACCCAGCTGGGAACCCCAAATCCATCCTGATCCACCTGGCCAGGAACCCCAAATCCATCCTGATCCACCCACCTGGGAACCCCAAATCCATCCTGATCCACCCAGCTGAGCCCTAACCCCAAATCCATCCTGATCCCCCCAGCTGGGAACCCCAAATCCATCCTGATCCACCTGGCCAGGAACCCCAAACCCAAATCCATCCTGATCCACCTGCCCAGGAACCCGAATTCCATCCTGGATCCCCCCGGTCCGGGGGCTGCAACCCCAAATCCATCCCAATCCCCCCTCCCAAAGCCTGGAACTCCCCAAATCCCCCATCCCAGGATCTGGAACCCCCCAAATCCCCCCCCTCTAGGGCCTGGAACCGCCCAAATCCCCCTCCAGGGCCTGGAACCCCCCCAAATCCCCCCTCCCAAACTCTGGAACTCCCCAAATCCCCCCTCCCAAAGCCTGGAACCCCCTCAAATCCCCCTCCTAAAGCCTGGAACTCCCAAATTCCCCTCCCAAAGCCTGGAACCCCCAAATCCCCCTCCCAAAGCCTGAAACCCCCTCAAATCCCCCACCCAGGATCTGGAACGCCCCTCCCAGAGCCTGGAACCCTCAAATCCCCCTCCAAAGCCTGGAACCCCTCAAATCCCCCTCCCAGAATCTGAAACGCCCCTCCCAAAGCCTGGAACCCCCCAAATCCCCTCCTCCAAAGCCTGGAACCCCCCAAATCCCCCATCCCAGGATCTGGAACCCCTCAATTCCCCCTCCCAAAGCCTGGAACCTCCCAAATCCCCCTCCCAGGGTCTGTAATGCCCCTCCCAGGGCCTGGAACCCCAGTTCGCCCCACCCAAAGCCTGGAACCCCAAATCCCCCTCCCAGGGTCTGAAACCCCCAAATCCCCCTCCCGTGTCCTGTCCCCGTTCCGCCCCCGGCAGGGTCTGGCTCCACCAGAACTGGGTCAGGGGCAGAAAGGGCCGATTGTGCTCCCGCCGGGAACGCCTCCCTCGGGATCCGGGCGCCCCTCCAGGGCTCGGGGGCCCCTCCAGCAGGGAGAGGGGCCATCCCATCCCATTCCCATCCCATTCCCAGGTGCTGTCCAAGGCCCCGAACCCTCTGGACCCCTCTGCTCCCCCGGACACGCAGGTGACGGTGCAGCTGTGGGACTCGGAGCCGCTGGCGCTCACCGTGCCCGGCCACATCCCCTGGGACGATCCCAAATTCATGGAGATCGTGGCCCAGCAGGCGCTCGGGCGCTACAAGGAGAACGCCATGTGAGCCCGGGGAACACCCCCTAAAACCCCCCCAATCCCCCCAAAAAACAACACGGGGAGGGGGTCACAGCGGGCTCATCCCTTCCTTTTGTTAATCCCACAGAGAGTAGCAGGGAGATCCCGATGTTCCGCAGCACATCCAGCCCCATTCCAAGCGGGAATTGTCACCGTTGTTGTGCCCTCCCCACCCCCACCTCTCCCTCTTCCCGCTGCAGGGACCCCCCTTCCCCTGCCGGGGGTCCCGAACAGGCAATAAAGGTAGAGTTGAACCCCTGGATCTGCTTCCCGCAGGTTTTGGGGGCATTCCCGTGGGGAAAAAAAAGGGGGGAAAAAAAAGGGGGGAAAAAAAGGGGGGAAAAAAAGGGGGGAAAAAAAAGCGGCCTGGGGGCCACAAATGGATATTGGAAAATTGGGAGGGGGGATCCAAGGATAGGGGACATCCCAACCCTCCCCCCCAGCGCACACCCAAAGGGAAAATGAGGGAGAGCTGGATCCTTGGATTTTCCTTTCCTGCGGTTTTGGGGACACCCCTGAAGGAGGAAGTGGGGAAAAGCAGCCTGGGGGCCGTCCCGGGTGCTGGGAAAACGGGATGATGATCCCAGGGACAAATCCTGCTGGGAACACCCCAGGGCACAGCCCCCGTCCCTGCTGATCCCCAAATCCCACCGGGAACCCCCCTCACACAGGCACCCACGGAGTGATCCAGGGGCAGATCCACTCTTTTGGGGGGACGCACACTGGGGGTCCCAGCCCCGATCCCATCCCAATCCCACCCCTGATCCCTTGGGAACGGATCCTCAAACCCCACAGGCACCCACGGAGTGATCCAGGGGCAGATCCGGGGATGGATTTGGGATAAGAGGGATCAGCTGTGGGAAAGGGGTGGGATTTGGGATAAGGGGGATCAGCTGTGGGAAAGGGGATGGGAGATGGGATAAGGGGGATCAGGTGTGGGAAAGGGGGTGGATTTGGGATAAGAGGGAGCAGGTGTGGGAAAGGGGTGATGGATTTGGGATAAGGGAGTTGGATAAATGGAATAAGGGGGGTGAGCTGTGGGGGGGGGGAGATGGAAAAGGGGGATCAGGTGTGGGAAAAGGGTGGGATTTGGGATAAGAGGGATCAGCTGTGGGAAAGGGGGTGGGAGATGGGATAAGGGGGATCAGGTGTGGGAAAGGGGTTGGGATTTGGGATAAGGGAGTTGGATAAATGGAATAAGGGGGATCAGCTGTGGGGGGTGGGAGATGGAAAAGGGGGATCAGCTGTGGGAAAGGGGATGGATATGGGATAAGGGGATCAGCTGTGGGAAATGGGAGATGGAAAAGGGGGATCAGCTGTGGGAAAGGGGTTCGAGAGGGGAAAGGGGCTGGGATTTGGGATAAGAGGGATCAGCTGTGGGAAAGGGGTGGGATTTGGGATAAGGGAGTTGGATACATGGAATAAGGGGGATCAGCTGTGGGAAATGGAGGGAGATGGGAAAGGAGGATCAGCTGTGGAAAGGGGATGGGAGAAATGGAATAAGGGGATCAGGTGTGGGAAAGGGGTGATGGATTTGGGATAAGGGGGATCAGCTGTAGGAATATGGGAAAGGGGAAGGGGGAGTTGGGATAAGGAGGATCAACGTGGGAAAGGGGTGGGATTTGGAATAAGAGGGATCAGCTGTGGGAAAGGGGATGGGAGATGGGATAAGGGGGATCAACTGTGGGGGGTGGGAGATGGAAAAGGGGGATCAGCTGTGGGAAAGGGGATGGATTTGGGATAAGGGGGATCAGCTGTGGGAAGGGGGTGATGGAAAAGGGGAATCAGCTGTGGGAAAGGGATGATGGATTTGAAATAAGAGGGATCAGCTGTGGGAAAGGGGATGGGAGATGGGATAAGAGGGATCAGGTGTGGGAAACCTGGGAGAGGGGAAAGGGAGTTGGATAAGGGGGATCAGGTGTGGGAAAGGGGCTGGGAACTGGAATGGGAAGAGGGACTGGAATGTAGGAATGGGGACCCAGCTGTGGGAAAGGGGGGCTGGAATTGGGAATGGGGGATTGGAATTGGGAATGGGGGGATGGAAGTGGGAATGGAGGACTGGAAGTGGGAATGGGGGGCCTGGAAGTGGGAAAGGGGGGTTGGAATTGGGAATGGGGGGCTGGAATTTGGAATGGGGGATGGAATTTGGAATGGGGGTTGGAATTGGGAATGGGGGCTGGATTTGGGAATGGGGGAATCACCTGCAGGAAGGGGTACTGGAATCAGGAGTGGGTTTGGGATTTCGGGAGTGAGGGACAGCTGGAAATGGGATATCCCAAAAATGACCCTGGAGATCCCGGGAATGAGGGACAGCTGGGAATGGGACACCCCAAAGTCACCCTGGATCCGGGAATGAGGGACACTGGAAATGGGACACCCAAAATTACCCCGGATTCAGGAATGGGACACCCCAAAGTCATCCTGAATCCAGGAATGGGGCACCCCATGTCACCAGGATCCGGGAATGGGACATCCCAAAGTCACCCAGGATCTGGGAATGAGGGACACTGGGAATGCAGGGTCCCCCCCGCCCTCCTCCCTGTCCCCCCCCCGAGGATCCCTCAAAAACACATCCCAGACCTTCGTGTGGGATTCCCTTTGTTTGGAATTCCCTTTGTTTGGAATTCCCTTCATGTGGAATTCCCTTCGTGTGGGATTCCCTTTGTTTGGAATTCCCTTCATGTGGAATTCCCTTCGTGTGGGATTCCCTTTGTTTGGAATTCCCTTTGGCTGGAATTCCCTTTGGCTGGAATTCCCTTCGTTTGGGATTCCCTTCGTTTGGAATTCCCTTCGTGTGGAATTCCCTTTGTTTGGAATTCCCTTTGTCTGGAATTCCCTTCGGCTGGGATTCCCTTTGTTTGGAATTCCCTTTGTTTGGAATTCCCTTTCCCGCCCCTTCCCAGCAGCCCCGGGATTATCTGGGAGGAGTCCCCGGTCGGGGCTTCATTTCCCCCCTCCAGGGACCCCCCCGCATTCCCAGGATCCCCCCAAACCCCCCCGGGAATGCCCCCAGCCCCCTCTGGGATCTCCCAGAATTCCCAAACCCGCGGAGCCGGGAGAGCAGGACCCGGCTGGGGGCAGGGCCAGCCCGGCGCATCCCGCTTTCCCACTGATCCAGCGGGAATTTTGGGGTAATCCCAGGCCTTGGTGTCACCTCCGGGCCCCGCCCCCACCCCCGGGCCTGGGTTTTCCCGCCGGGAATGCCGGATCCCGGCTGGATCCTCGGAAGATCCCCGGGAGATCCGCGAGGAGGCACCGGGAGGAGCCGGCCCGGCTGCTCCGGCTTTCCTGGGAAACTCCGGGATTTGGGGATGGGAAGGGACCCAGTTCAGCCTTTCCCTGGATTTTGGGAAGGGGTTCAGGGCAGTTTTTCACTGGATTTTGGGAAGGGGTTCAGGGCAGCTTTTCCCTGGATTTTGGGAAGGGGCTCAGAGCAGCTTTCCCCTGGATTTTGGGATGGGAAGGGACCCAGTTTGGCCTTTCCCTGGATTTTGGGAAGGGGTTCAGTTCAGCCTTTCCCTGGATTTTGGGAAAGGGCTCAGTTTGGCCTTTCCCTGGATTTTGGGAAGGGGCTCAGTTCAGCCTTTCCCTGGATTTTGGGAAGGGGCTCAGGGCAGCTTTTCCCTGGATTTTGGGAAGGGGCTCAGGGCAGCTTTTCCCTGGATTTGGGGCTGGGAGGGGGCTCAGGAGCCTCCAGGGGGATTTTGGGGCACTCCCACAGTCCCCCCATCCCCCACCACCCCGACCCTCTTCCCCCTCCCCACTCTCGCTGGACCCCAAAAATCCCCCCTCAATCCCTGGGGACCCTCCTCCTTCCTTCCCCCAGCAAACCCCCCAAAATGGGACGAGGGCACAGGGACCCCAAAAACCTCAGGGGATTTGGAGGGCATAGAACCCAAAACCTCGGGGGATTTGGGAGGAGCAGAGACCCCAAAACCTCGAGGATTTGTGGGGGCACTGAGACCCTAAAAACCTCGGGGATTTGAGGGGGCATGGGGACCCTAAACGTCGGGGGCCTAGGGGTCCCAGGTGGGATCCTGTCCGGAGGGTCCCAGGTGGGGTTCCGGAGTCCCGAGGGGTCCCATCCTGGGGGTTCCAGGGAAATCCACGGAGGTCCCGTCCCGTGGGGTTCTGGGGATCCCAGGGAAGGGGTTCCATTCCCGTGGGGTTTCCGTGGGGATTCCGGGTTCCCGGGGAAGGGGGGTTTCCATTCCGTGGGTTTCCCGTGGGATTCCGGGGTTCCCGGGGAAGGGGGGTTTCCATTCCCGTGGGTTTCCGTGGGGATTCGGGGTTCCCAGGGGAGGGGTTTCCATTCCCGTGGGGTTCCCGTGGGGGTTCATGGGGAAGGGGGGTCCATTCCGTGGGGTTCCAGTGGGCATTCCGGGGATCCCAGGCCAGGGTGGGGGTTCCATTCCATGGGGTTCCCGTGGGGGTTCTGGGGATCCCGGGGCAGGGAGGTTCCATTCCCGTGGGATTCCCGGGGGTCCCAGGGCTGGGGGGTTTCCATTCCCGTGGGGTTTGCGTGGGGTTCTGTGGGGGTTCAGGGGGTCCCAGGGCAGAGTGGGGTTCCATTCCGTGGGGTTCCCGTGGGGATTCCGGGGTTCCCAGGGAAGGGGGGTCCGTTCCTGTGGGGATTCCGGGGTCCCGGAGGAGGGGGGTTTCCTTCCCGTGGGGTTCCGTGGGGGTTCGGGGTCCCAGGGCAGGGGGTTCCATTCCCGTGGGGTTCCGTGGGGTTCTGGGGTTCCCAGGGGAAGGGGGTCCCGTTCCTGTGGGGTTCCCGTGGGAGTTCTGGGGATCTGGGCAGGGTGGGGGTTCCATTCCCGTGGGTTCCTGTGGGGATTCCAGGGTTCCCAGGGGAGGGGGGTTCCATTCGTGGGGTTCCCGTGGGGATTCTGGGGTCCTAGGGCAGGGGGTTCCATTCCCGGGGTTCCCGTGGAGATCGGGGAGTCCCAGACAGGATCCGTCCGTGAGGGTTCGGGGTCCTAGAGTGGGGTCCCTTCCGTGGGGTCCGGGTGTCCCGGGGAGGATCCTTCCGATTGGATTCCCGTGGGATCGGGATCCGTCCGTTAAGTCCCAGGGAGCGGTATTCCCTTCCGTGGGTTCGTGGGGTTCCCGTGGGTCCACGGCGGGATGGGGTCTCACTTTGCCAGGGTGTTGATGGAGCCGGCGACGGCATCCTGCCCAGGCCACTGGACCGACCACACCGTGGACCACCCTGCCACCACCACCTACTGTGCGGGACACGCCCACCCGTGGAGACACGCCCACCCACGGGGGACACGCCCACCCACGGGAGACACGCCCACCCACGGGGGACACGCCCACCCACGGGGGATGTCCATGGAGACCCCCCCATCCCCCTGGACGCGCCCCCACGGGAATCCCCGCCCACGGGGTCTAGCCACGCCCACAGCGGTGACGTCTTGTGATGACCACGCCCGTTGATCTGCATGGCCACGCCCACCGAGCCACCGCGCTGCGGTCCTAGTGCCGCCCGTGGCCGTGTCCCGCGTGGTCCTGTCCCGGTGTCCCCGCCGTTCTGTCCCCACGATTCTGTCCCTCTGTCCCGCAGCCGCTTGTCCTGGTGATTCCGTCCCTGTGTGGCCTGTCCCCGTGTCCCTGTGTCGCCTGTCCCTGTGTCACCTGTCCCCGTGGTTGTGTCCCCGTGGTTGTGTCCCGGTGCCCCCCGTGCCGGTGTCCCCTGTCCTTGCAGTGCTCTCCCGGTCCCCCCGTGTCCCCCCCGTGTGCCTCCCGTGTCCCCTACGTGTCCTTCTGTGTCTCCGCGTGTCTCTCCCGTGTCCCCTCGTGTCCCCGACGTGTCCTTCTATGTCTTGCCGTGTCCCCCCCGTGCTTCTCCCGTGTCCCTCCATGTCCCCCCCGTCTCCCCTACGTGTCCTTCCGTGTCTTCCCGTGTCCCCTACGTGCTTCTCCTGTGTCCCCTCGTGTCCCCCCCTGTCTCCTCTACGTGTCCTTCTGTGTCTTCCCCGTGTCCCCTAGTGTTTCCTCCTGTGTCCCCCTCATGTCCCCTCACCTGTCCCCCCGTGTCCCCCTGTGTTCTCCCGTGTCCCACTTATGTCCCCTCGTGTCCCCCCATGTCCCCCCGTGTCCCCGCGTGTTCCTCCCGTGTCCCACTCCATGTCCCCCCGTGTCCCCCCTGTATCCTCCAGTGTCCCCTACGTGTCTTTCTGTGTCCCCCTCGTGTCCCCCTGTGTCCCCCTGTGTCCCTCCGTGTCCCTCCGTGTTCCCTGTGTCCCTCCGTGTCCCCCCGTGTTCCCCTGCAGTCCCCCCAGTGTCCCCTCCATGTCCCCCGTGTCCCCTCCGTGTCCCCTCGTGTTCCTCCCTGTGTCCCCCAGTGTCCCCTCCATGTCCCCCCGTGTCCCCTACGTGTCCTTCTCGTGTCCTTTCCGTGTCCCCCCTGTGTCCCAGTGTCCCCCCTCATGTCCCCCCGTGTCCCCCCCGTGTCCCCCCGCGTTCCCGGCAGGTGGCGCCGGCGGAGCGCGACCGGGATAAGGAGTTCCCGGGATAAACCCTTCCTGGGATAAACCGCTCCCGGGATAAACCATTCCTGGGATAAACCCAACCCAGGATAAACCCACCTGGGATAAACCTGCCTGGGATAATCCCGATCCAAGGGGGGGAGGGACAATCCCGATCCAAGGGGGGACAATCCCGATCCAAGGGGGGACAACCCCCATTCAAGGGGGGGACAATCCTGATCCAAGGGGGGGAGGGACAATCCCGATCCAAGAGGGGGAATAATCCTGATCAAGGAGAGTGACAATCCTGATCCAAGGGGGGGGACAATCCTGATCCAAGGGGGACAATCCTGATCCAAGGGTGGGGACAATCCGATCCAAGGGGACAATCCCGATCCAAGGCGGGGACAATCCCGATCCAAGGGAGGGATAATCCTGATCCAAGGGGGGGAGGGACAGTCCTGATCCAAGGAGGGGACAATCCCGATCCAAGGAGGGACAATCCCTATCCAAGGGGGATAATCCTGATCCAAGGGGTCAATCTTGATCCAAGGGGGGACAATCCCGATCCAAGGAGGGACAATCCCGATCCAAGGGAGGGTGATAATCCCGATCCAAGGACGGACAATCCCGATCCAAGGGAGGGACAATCCCGATCCAAGGAGAGGTGGGGGGAGGACAATCCCGATCCAAGGGACAATCCAATTCAAGGAGGGAAAATCCCAATCAAGAAGGAGGGCACAATCCGATCAAGGGGACAATCCCGATCCAGGGAGGACAATCCCGATCCAGGGGGATAATCCTGATCCAAGGGGGGAATAATCCTGATCCAAGGAGGGACAATCCCGATCCAGGAGGGACAATCCCGATCCAGGAGGACAATCCCGATCCGAGGGGGGGATAATCCCGATCCAAGGAGGGGACAAACCAATCAAGGGAGGGAAATCCAATCCAAGAAGGGGACACATTCCTGATCCAAGGAGGGACAATCCCGATCCAAGGAGGACAATCCTGATCCAAGGGTGGGGAATAATCCCCATCCAAGGGGGACAATCCTGATCCAAGGGTGGGGGAATAATCCCGATCCAAGGGGGGACACTGGGGTGGGGTGGAAATGGCCCTGAGGGGACAGAAATGTGACCTTGGGGGTCCCAAAATGTGTCCCCTGGGGGCGTGTGTGATGGGAGAGACCCAAATTTGACCCTGGGGGGGTCCCCAAATGTGTCCCTGGAGGGGGAGGGGGTGTGTGTGTCTCTATAAATTTAATTATAAAGACTGTAATTCTTTGTAATTGATACTGTATATATATTCTGTATGTGTTAAATATGTATTTCATTATAAAGAATTAAATGTATTTCATTATAAAGAATTAAATCGAATCGAATCTCCCAACTAGGAATTCTTTCTTTCTGATTTTTTCCAGAGGATTCTTAATAATTCTTAATTCTTTATAGTCAAATATATATTGAATATATACAGAATATATATATATATTATCGGTTATAAAGAATTAAAGTCCTTATAATTAAATATATATATATTATTAATTATAAAGAATTCAATTAAAATCCCTATTAAGGCATCCTTAAAAAATTCCTTATTAGGGATTTAAATTAATTTTATTAATTTAAAATATATATTCTATATATATATATTTTATATATATATTTTATATATATATATCCTCTCCCATGCCCTGCTCCCCCCCTAGACCCGAGGGAAGGATCCCAGGAGTTCCCGATATTCCAGGGGACCGGGATCATCCTCTCCCATCCCTGTTCCCCGAGGGAAGGATCCCAGGTGTTCCCGATATTCCAGGGGATCAGGATCCCCCTCTCCCATCCCTGTTTTCCCCCAGCCCCGAGGGAACAATTCCCGGTGTTCCCAAGATCTCAGCAGACCGGGATCATCCTCTCCCAGCCCCGAGGGAAGGATCCCAGGTGTTCCCAGGATCCCAGGGGACCAGGATCATTCTCTCCCAGCCCCGAGGGAGGAATCCCAGGTGTTCCCGATATCCCAGCGGACCGGGATCATCCTCTCCCAGCCCCCAGGGAACAATCCCAGGTGTTCCCGATCTCCCAGAGGACCAGGATCATCCTCTCCCATCCCTGCTCCCCGAGAGAACAATCCCAGGTGTTCCCGATATCCCAGGGGATCGGATCCCCCTCCCCCGTGGCCGCTCCCGCAGGGAAGGATCCCAGGTGTTCCCAGAGGATCGGGATCCCCCTCATCACCTCCTGCCCCGAGGGAACAATTCCCGGTGTTCCCAAGGTCCCAGCAGACCGGGATCCTCTCCTCCCATCCCTGCTCCCCCTCCAGCCCCCAGGGAAGGATCCCAGGTGTTCCCAGAGGATCGGGATCCCCCTCGTCCCCTCCTGCCCCGAGGGAACAATCCCAGGTGTTCCCAGGATCTCAGCAGACCGGGATCCTCTCCTCCCATCCCGCTCCCCCTCCACCCCCGAGGGAAAGATCCCAGGTGTTCCCAGGATCCCAGGTGTTCCCAATATCCCAGCGGACCGGGATCATCCTCTCCCAGCCCCTAAGGAAGGATCCCAGGTGTTCCCAGGACCCCAGGGGACCAGGATCATCCTCTCCCATCCCCGAGGGAGGAATCCCAGGTGTTCCCAGGATCCCAGGTGTTCCCAGGATCCCAGGAGACCGGGATCATCCTCTCCCAGCCCCCAGAGAACAATCCCAGGAGTTCCCGATATCCCAGGGGACCGGGATCCCCCTCTCCCATCCCTGTTCCCCCTCCACCCCCGAGGGAACGATCCCAGGTGTTCCCGATATCCCAGGGGACCGGATTCCCCTCTCCCATCCCCGAGGGAACAATCCCAGGTGTTCCTGGTATCCCAGGTGTTCCCAGGATCCCCCTCTCCCAGCCCCGAGGGAACGATCCCAGGTGTTCCCGATATCCCAGCGGACCGGGATCATCCTCTCCCAGCCCCCAGGGAACAATCCCAGGTGTTCCCGATCTCCCAGAGGACTGGGATCCTCCTCTCCTATCTCTGTTCCCCGAGAGAACAATCCCAGGTGTTCCCAGGATCCCAGGGGACCGGATCCCCCTCTCCCAGCCCCAAAGGAAGGATCCCAGGATCCCAGGGGAGCGGATCCCCCTCTCCCTCGGCTGCTCCCAGTACCACAGGGAAGAATCTCAGGTGTTCCCAGGATCCCAGGGGACCGGGATCATCCTCTCCCATCACCGAGGGAGGAATCCCAGGTGTTCCTGATATCCCAGGGGACCGGATCCTCCTCTCCCAGCCCCGAGGGAAGGATCCCAGGTGTTCCCAGGATCCCAGGTGTTCCCGATATCCCAGCGGACCGGATCCTCCTCTCCCAGCCCCGAGGGAAGGATCCCAGGTGTTCCCAGGATCCCAGCGGACCGGGATCCTCCTCTCCCATCCCTGCTCCCCCTCCACCCCCGAGGGAACGATCCCAGGTGTTCCCGATATCCCAGGGGATCGGATCCCCCTCCCCCGTGGCCGCTCCCGCAGGGAAGGATCCCAGGTGTTCCCAGAGGATCGGGATCCCCCTCATCCCCTCCTGCCCCGAGGGAACAATCCCAAGTGTTCCCAGGATCCCAGCGGACCGGTATCATCCTCTCCCAGCCCCGAGGGAACGATCCCAAGTGTTCCCAAGATCCCAGCAGACCGGGATCATCCTCTCCCATCCCTGCTCCCCCTCCACCCCCGAGGGAAGGATCCCAGGTGTTCCCGATATCCCAGCGGACCGGGATCCTCCTCTCCCAGCCCCGAGGGAAGGATCCCAGGTGTTCCCAGGATCCCAGGTGTTCCCAAGATCCCCCTCTCCCATCCCCGAGGGAAGGATCCCAGGTGTTCCCAGGATCCCAGGTGTTCCCGATATCCCAGGGATCGGATCCCCCTCTCCCGCTCCCGCAGGGAAGGATCCGAGGCGGTGCCGAGAACCAGGGAATCCTTTCTCTGTCCCATCCTTTATTTCTCCCGGCGCTCCCAGAACCTGGGAATCCTTCCCGGTGTGTGGGGTGGGCACGATCCCCTCGGAGCAGGAGGGAATTCCCGCCCTGCAGACGGGGATCATTTCCATGGATAAACCGGTGCGGGGTTGGGATGAACTCCCCGTCTGGGATCGGGTACCTCGGGAGGTCCCTCCTTGTGTGTTTGTGTCCCCCCCTCGGGGTTTTGGGGTGAAAAATCCCGTTTTGAGGTGGAAAAGGAGGGAGGTTTTGCTCCCCTCGTGCGGTGCTGGGGGTGGGTTTGCTCCCCCCGGGATGCGCTGCGGGAATTCCGGGATCATCCCGGTGCTGGGGAGAGAGGGGGGAAGGGGTGTGGAGGAGAAGGGTGCAGAGGTGTTGTAATGTCCCGATTTGTCCCCAAAATACCTCCCTGAGGGGAACAATTCCATCCCCAAGGGCTTGGGGAGGGAGAAAAAGGGGATCCCGAGGGGTGATGTCCCAGATTGTCCCCCAGAATTCCTCCCTGAGGGGAACAATTCCATCCCCCAAGGGCTTGGGGAGGGTGAAAATGGGGATCCCGGGGGATGATGTCCCAGACTGTCCCCCAGAATTCCTCCCTGAGGGGAACAATCCCATCCCACAGCGAGGATGGAGGTGGGGATCCCAAGGAATGATTGGGATTGGCCCCCAGAATTCCTCCCTGAGGGGAACAGCTCCGTCCCCGGAGCCTTGGGGAGGGTGAAATGGGGATCCCGAGGGGTGATATCCCGGATTGTCCCCCAGAATTCCTCCCTGAGGATGAGAAGGGGGTCCCAGAGGTCCCCCCCGGGTTCCTCCTGCCCGATCCCGAGGACTCCCCGCTCTGCCCACCTGAAAAAGGGGTTAAACCCCCCCAAAATTCCGGCCAGGGCAGGGGTTTGGGCGCGGCCTTCGGGACTGCGGGCTCGTTCTGCGGGCACGGCATTCCCGAGGATCCCGAGGGCGCATCCACTCTGCTTCCCGCGGCATTCCCGAGGATCCCGAGGGCACATCCATCCCTGCTTCCCGCGGCATTCCCGAGGATCCCGAGGGCACATCCACCCTCTGCTTCCCGCGGCGTTCCCGAGGATCCCGAGGGTACGTCCATGCCCTGCTTCCCACGGTATTCCCGAGAAGTGGGATGGAACATCCAATCCTGCTTCGCAGCGTTGAGGATCGAGGACGTCATGCCCTGCTTCCGCGGCATTCCCGTGGCATTCCCGAGGATCCCGAGGGCACATCCATGCCCTGCTTCCCGCGGCATTCCTGAGGATCCCGAGGGCACATCCATCCTTGCTTGCCTCCCGCGGCGCATCCATCCCTGCAGGGCATTCCGCGAGGGCACATCCATCCCCTGCTTCCCACGGCATTCCCGAGGATCCCGAGGGCACATCCATGCCCTGCTTCCCGCGGCATTCCCGAGGAGCGGGATGGGACATCGACCCTCTGCTTCCCGCGGCGTTCCCGAGGATCCCGAGGGTGCATCCATGCCCTGCTTCCCGCGGCATTCCCGAGGATCCCGAGGGCACATCCACGCCCTGCTTCCCGCGGCATTCCCGAGGATCCCGAGGGCACATCCATCCCCTGCTTCCCACGGCATTCCCGAGGATCCCGAGGGTACATCCATGCCCTGCTTCCCGCGGCATTCCCGAGGATCCCCAGGACGCAGCGGGCAGGACCCGCGTGGGGGTCGTTCCCACGGCGGTGGGGGTCGTTCCCACGGCGGTGGGGGCCCCGGGTGTCCCACCCCACGGTGGGTTTGTGGGTGGGTTTGTGTGTTTCTGTGATCAAACCCTCTCCCACCTCTCCGAGTTTCACATTTTGGGGGGGGGGGCGTTTTTGGCGAAAAACCACCGGAACGAAAACAGCTTTAAATTAACCCAGAAACAGCTCCCGCAGTCCCGAGGAGCGCGCGGGGAGGGGGTGGGGGGTGGGAATGTGGGGTGGGGGGTCCCTGCCCAGCCCCCGGCCAAGATAAACCCTCGGTCCGTGGGGGGTCTGGGGTCGCTCCGAGGGGTCAGGGTCCCACCCAAGCCCCCTGCCAAGTGGAACCCTCGGTCCGCGGGGTCTGGGGGTGCTCCGAGGGGTCGGGGTCCCACCCAAGCCCCCTGCCAAGATAAACCCTGGGTCCGCGGGATCTGGGGGTGCCTCGAGGGGTCGGGATCCCCCCCAAGCCCCTGGTCAAGATAAACCCTCGGTCCGGGGGGTCTGGGGTGCCTTGAGAGGTCGGGATCCTTGAGGGGTCGGGATCTCCCCCAAGCCCCCTGCCAAGTGGAACTCCCGGTCCGTGGGGTCTGGGGGTGCCTTGAGGGGTCAGGATCTCCCCCAAGCCCCCTGCCAAGATAAACCCTCGGTCCGCGGGGTCTGGAGGTGCTCCGAGGGGTCGGGATCCCTGCCCATCCCCCGGCCAAGATAAGCCCTCGGTCCGGGGTGGGTCTGGGGTTGCCTTGAGGGGTCAGGGTCCCCCCCAAGCCCCCTGCCAAGTGGAACCCTCGGTCCGGGAGGGGTCTGGGGTCGCTCCGAGGGGTCAGGGTCCCCCCCAAGCCCCCTGCCAAGATAAACCCTGGGTCCGGGGGGGAACCTGGGGGCGCTCCGAGGGGTCAGAATCCTCCCCAAGCCCCCGAATCCTCGGTCCGCGGGGTCTGGGGGTGCGCCGAGGGGTCGGGATCCCTGCCCATCCCCCTGCCAAGATAAACCCTCGGTCCGGGGTGGGTCTGGGGTTTGCTTGAGGGGTCAGGGTCCCCCCCAAGCCCCGTGCCAAGATAAACCCTGGCTCCGTGAGGGTCTGGGGTTGCCCTGAGGGGTCAGGGTCCCCCCCAAGCCCCCTGCCAAGATAAACCCTCGGTCCGGGGGTCTGGGGTGCCTTGAGAGGTCGGGATCCCCCCCAAACCCCCTGCCAAGTGGAACCCTCGGTCCTTGGGGTCTGGGGGTGCTCCGAGGGGTCGGAATCCTCCCCAAGCCCCCGAACCCTCGGTCAGCGGGATCTGGGGGTGCTCCGAGGGGTCAGGATACCCCCCAAGCCCCCCGCCAAGTGGAACCCCCGGTCCGGGGTGGGTCTGGGGTCGCTCCGAGGAGTCAGGGTCCCCCCCAAGCCCCCTGCCAAGTGGAACCCCCGGTCCGGGGTGGGTCTGGGGTGGCTCCGAGGGGTCTCTACACGGAGCTGCGGCGCTTGCCGAGCCCCGGCAGGGCGGCCAGGCTGTGCATGCCGCTGGACACGGAGCTGACGGCCGAGCGGCGGGCCCCGCACAGGCAGCGCTTCGGGGGGGTGCCGGCGCCTCGCGGGGGCGAGGAGTGGCCGTGCCCGTGTCCGCCGTGTCCTGCGTGGCCGTGGGCCTGCTCGGCGGCCGCGTCCGAGGCGGAGGACAGGTCCCGGGGGATGATCATGGGGATGGAGTACTGCAGCTTCTCGCGGCTCTTGTACCACAGGCACGAGCACACGGACTGGAAGTGCAGCACCTCGGCGTAGACGTTCCGGAGCCCCCCTCCTCCTCCTCCTCCTCCTCCTCCTCCTCCCGCCCCCTCCCCGGCGGCGGCCCCCGCGGCGGGCGCGGCCGTGGGGGTCTCGCGTGGGCGGGCGGAGAGCAGGGCGCGCTGCTCCGCGTCCCGCCGCTCGTCCTCGGCGTTCATGGTCATGAAGCGCAGCACCACCAGGTTGAGGAAGGCGCCGATGACCGTGAGCCCCGTGAGGATGTAGACGAAGCTGAAGGCCACGTACTGCGGCTGGTTCTGCAGCGCCTGGTCCTTCTGCAGCGCCACGTAGTCCCCGAAGCCGATGGTGGTGAGGGTGATGAAGCAGTAGTAGTAGGCGTGGAAGAAGCTCCAGCGCTCGTAGTGCGAGAAGGCGGCGGCGCCCACGCAGAGGGTGCTGATGCAGGAGAAGAAGCCGATGGCGACCATGTTGGCCATGGACACCTCGGGCCGCCTCATGCCCAGGCACCTCTTGGCGCGGTGCAGGAGGTACTTGACGAAGGTGTTGATGCGCTCGCCCAGGCTCTGGAACATGACGAGGGTGAGGGGGATGCCGAGCAGCGCGTACACCATGCAGAACACCTTCCCCCCGTCCGTGCTGGGCGCGGCGTGGCCGTAACCTGGGCACGAGGGCACAGCGGGGTCAGCGCGGGGATCAGGACACTCGGGGGGGCTTCCCCCCGACAGCCGGGGAAGGGTGGGATGGGATCATAAAGCTCGTCCTGTCCTCACCCCGACGGCTCCCGCTGTCCCAGGGGATCCAGCCCGGCCTGGGACACTGCAGGGATCCAGGGGCAGCCACAGCTTCCCTGGGAATTCCAGCCCAGCCCCTCCCAGTAGGGAATCCCTTCCCAGTCTCCCATCCATCCCTGCCCTCTGGCACTGGGAAGCCATTCCCTGTGTCCTGTCCCTCCATCCCTTGTCCCCAGTCCCTCTCCAGCCCTCCTGGAGCCCCCGCAGGCTCTGGAAGGGGCTCCAAGCTCTCCCCAGAGCTCAGTGTTTTCCTTTAACCCCTTGGAGCTGCGTCCCTAGGGATTATCTGCTGGGAAACTGGGAAGCCCAGCCTGGAGCCATCCCAGCAGCACCTCCAGCTCCACGGGATCCCAGGCTGGTTTGGGTGGGAAGGGATTTTAAATCCCATCCAGTGCCACCCCTGCCATGGGCAGGGACACCTCCCACCAGCCCAGGGTGCTCCAAGCCCCGTCCAGCCTGGCCTGGGACATTCCCAGGGATGCAGGGGCAGCCACAGCTTCCCTGGGATGTGCCAGGGATGGTTCCCTTGTCCCTCCCTGTCCCCGCCTCTGTCCCTGTCCCTGCACCTTTCCCTGTCCCAGCCCCTGTCCTTGCCCCGTCCCTATTTCTGCCCCGTCCCTGTCCCTTCCCCCGTCCCTATTCCCGTCCTTTTCCCTTTTCCTTTCCATTCTTTTTCTGTCTCTTTCTCCTTCTTTGTCTTTTTTTTTCCTTTTCCTTTCCCATTTCAATTTCCTCCTTATCCTTTTCCTTTCCCTCCTTTCCCTTATCCTTTTACTTTCCCTTTGGTTTTCGTTCCTTTTTTCTTCTTCTTTTCTTTTTTTTTCCTCTTTTCCTTTTCTCCTTTCCCTCCTTTTTTCTCCCCTTCCTTTCCCTCCTCTTTCCCCTTTTCCCTTCCCTTCCCAGCTTTCCCAGCAGTCCGGGATCCCAGGAGCCAGGAGGCAGGAGCAGGGACAAGGACAGGGACAGGCACATTGTCACCCTCACTGTCACTTCTTTGTCACCTCTCTGTCCCCTCAGTGCCACTCTCTCTGTCCCCTCAGTGCCACCCTCTCTGTCCCCTCAGTGCCACCCTCACTGTCACCTCTCTGTCGCCTCACTGTCACCTCCCTGTCACCTCATTGCCACCCTGGCTGTCACCTCCCTGTCCCCTCAGTGCCACTCTCCCTGTCCCCTCATTGCCACCCTCACTATCACCTCTCTGTCCCCTCAGTGCCACTCTCCCTGTCCCCTCAGTGCCACCTCACTGTCACCTCTCTGTCCCCTCAGTGCCACCCTCTCTGTCCCCTCAGTGCCACCCTGGCTGTCACCTCTCTGTCCCCTCAGTGCCACTCTCCCTGTCCCCTCGGTGCCACCCTGGCTGTCACTTCTCTGTCCCCTCAGTGCCACTCTCCCTGTCCCCTCAGTGCCACCCTCACTGACCCTCACTCATCTCTGTCCCCTCAATGCCACCCTGGCTGTCACCTCTCTGTCCCCTCAGTGCCACCCTCTCTGTCCCCTCAGTGCCACCCTCGCTGTCACCTCCTGTCCCCTCAGTACCACCCTCACTGTCCCCTCACTGTCGCCTCACTGTCACCTCTCTGTCCCCTCAGTGCCACCCTCAGTGCCACTCTCCCTGTCCCCTCAGTGCCACCCTGGCTGTCACCTCTCTGTCCCCTCAGTGCCACCCTCAGTGCCACCTCTCTGTCACCTCAGTGCCACCCTCTCTGTCACCTCAGTGCCAGCCTCAGTGCCACCCTCACTGTCACCTCCCTGTCCCCTCAGTGCCACCCCGGTTGTCACCTCCCTGTCCCCTCAGTGCCACCCCGGCTGTCCCCTCGGGAGGGCCCGGGGGTGGCGGGATCCGCTCCAGGGAGGGGCCGCCCGAGCTCTGCCGGTGCCGGCGCTGCCCGCGGGGACGGGCGGGGACACCGGGCAGGGGCGACACCGCGGCTGTCACCGGGGGTGGCACCTGGGGTGTCACCTGGGGGTGTCACTGGGTGTGTCACCTGAGCGTGTCACCTGGGCGTGTCACTGGAGCGACACCAGGGAGTGTCACCTGGGCGTGTCACCTGGGGTGTCACCTGGGTGTGTCACTGGAGCGACATCGGGGTGTGTCTCCTGGGAGTGTCACCTGGGGTGTCACCCTGGGGGTGTCACTGGGGGTGTCACCTGGGCGTGTCACCTGGGGTGTCACCTGGGTGTGTCACCTGGGGGTGTCACTGGGGGTGTCTCCTGGGAGTGTCACCTGGGGTGTCACCCTGGGGGTGTCACTGGGGGTGTCTCCTGGGAGTGTCACCTGGGGTGTCACCCTGGGGGTGTCACTGGGGGTGTCTCCTGGGAGTGTCACTGGAGCGACACCAGGGAGTGTCACCTGGGGGTGTCACTGGGGTTGTCACTGGAGCGACACCTGGGGGTGTCACCTGGAGGTGTCACCTGCGGGTGTCACTGGAGCGACATCGGGGTGTGTCACCTGGTGGTGTCACTGGAGGTGTCACCTGGGGGTGTCACCTGTGCATGTCATCTGCACGTGTCACATGGGGTGTCACCTGGGGTGTCACTGGAGCGACATCGGGGTGTGTCACCTGGGGGTGTCACCTGGGGGTGTCACCTGGGGATGTCACCGAGGGGGTGTCACTGGAAAACAGCACTGGACAGCATCACCTGAGGATCACCTGAGACATCACCTGAGCATCACCTGAGCATCCCCTCAACATCACCTGAGCATCACCTGAGCATACCCTCAACATCACCAGAGCATCCCCTCAACATCACCAGAGCATCATCTCAGCATCACCTGAGCATCACCAGAGTCACCAGAGCATCACCAGAGCATCACCTGAGCATCACCTGAGGATCCCCTCAGACATCCCCTGAGACATCCCCTCAACATCACCTGAGCATCATCTCAGTATCACCTGAGCATCACCTGAGCATCATCTCAGCATCACCTGAGACATCCCCTCAGCATCACCTGAACATCATCTCAGCATCACCTGAGCATCATCTCAGCATCACCTGAGACATCTTCTCAGCATCACATGAGCATCATCTCAGTATCACCTGAGACATCTTCTCAGCATCACATGAGCATCATCTCAGCATCACCTGAGACATCACCTGAGCATCACCTGAACATCATCTCAGTATCACCTGAACATCATCTCAGCATCACCTGAGTATCCAGAGCACCACCTCAGCATCACCTGAGCATCCCCTCAGCATCACCTGAGCATCCCCTCAGCATCACCTGAGACATCCCCTCAGCATCACCTGAGCATCACCAGAGTCACCAGAGCACCACCAGAGCATCACCTGAGACATCCCCAAAAAACGTCACTGGAGAGCATCCCCAGAGCATCCTCAGAGCATCGTGAAAGCGTCACCTGAGAGCATCACCTGAGCAACACCTGGGAGTGCCACCAGCAAACAGCACTGCAGAGTCCCCTGAGCATCCCCTGAGCATCCTCTGAGCATCCCCTGAGCATCATGAAAGCATCCCCTGAGAGCATCACCTGAGCAACACCTGGGAGTGTCACCAGCAAACAGCACTGCAGAGCGTCCCCTGAGCATCCCCTGAGCATCATCAAAGCATCCCCTGAGCATCCTCTGAGCATTCCCTGAGCATCCCCTGGGAGCATCATCAGAAAACATCCCTGGAGAGCATCCCCAGGGCATCATAGCAGCACCACCTGAGCATCCCTGGAGAGCATTCCCAGAGCATCGCCCGAGAGTAACACCTGAGAGCATCCCCGGCGCATTTGAGAGCATCCCCAGAGCACTTCCCGAGCCCATCCCCGGAGCCTCCCCGCTCTCCTCCGTGCCGGGTTCCACCTACCCCTTCTCCCTCGCTGATAGAAAAGGGGGGGCTGCTCCTCGAGTCCCCTCCCTGTTTCTCCTGTCCCCTCCCTGTCTGTTCCTCGTGTCCCCTCCCTGTCTGTTCCTCCTGCCCCTTCTCTGCCTGTTCCTCGTGTCCCCTCCCTGCCTGTTCCTTGTGTCCCCTCCTCCTGTATCCTCTCTGCCCTCCTATGCCCCTTCTCTGCCCCCATGTTCCCTCCCTCCCCCGTGTCCTCCTCTCTACCCCCTTGTCCCTCCTCTCTGCCCCCGTGTCCCCTCCTCTGCCCCCTTGTCCCTCTCCTACCCCGTGTCCCCTCCCTGTCCCCGTGTCCCTCCCTGTTCCTTATCCCCTCTCTGCCCCCGTGTCCCCTCCTCTGCCCTCCGTGTCCCTCCCTCTCTGCCCCCGTGTCCCTCTCCTGCCCCGTGTCCTCTCTCTTCCCCCTTGTCCCCTCCCTGCCCCCCCGTGTCCCTCCCCTGCCTGTTCCTCGTGTCCCCTCCTCCCTGCCCCCTGTGTCCCTCCCTGCTCTACCCCGTGTCCCCTCCCTGCCCCCGTGTCCTCCTTCTCTACTCCCTTGTCCCCTCCCTGCCCCCCGTGTCCCCTCCTGCCCCCCTGTGTCCCCTCCCTGCCCCTGTCCTCCTCCCTACCCCCGTGTCCCCTCTCCCCTCACTCCCTTGTCCCCTCCCTGCCCCCATGCCCCCTCCCTGCCTGTTCCTCTGTGTCCCCTCCCTCCCTGCCCTCCGTGTCCCCTCCCTGCCCCCTGTGTCCCCTCCCCTCTACCCCCGTGTCCCTCTCCCTGCCTCCCATGTCCCTCCCTGCCCCCGTGTCCCCCTCCCTTCCCCGTGTCCCCTCCTGCCCCCTGTGTCCCCCCTCCCTGGCCCATGTCCCCATGTGCCCCCTCCTTCCCCAAGTCCTCCCCACCCTCCGAAGGGACCCCGAGGCCTCTCCCCTCCCGCTGGGGACCCCTCCCAGAGCCGGGGGTTCATCCACCCGGGACCCCCATCCCGGTGCCCTCCCCCTCCTTCCAGCCTCCTCCTGCCCCATCCCAACACCCCAAATCCTGGCTGGGATTCCGGGAGGAGCCTCGGGCCGTGCCCCGGGGGGTGTCCCCTCCCCGAGCCTCCCTCCCGCCGCTCCAGCCTCTCCCTCGCGCTATTTTTAGCCGCGTTTCCCGAGGAAGGGAGTCCGGGAGCTGTCAATCCTCCCGCGCCCCCCCCGTCCCCCCCGATCCCGGCGCTGCCTGATCCTCGGCACGTCCGAGGGGCCGGGAAGGGCTCCGGGATGGCGAATCCAGCCGGGCGGGAAGGGGGAAAAAATCCCACCCCCCAAAACCCCTCGGGCAGCCGAGGGGTCCCCCCCGAGGCCGGGATTGTGGGGAGCGGGGGGCGCATCCCAGCCCGGGAAAGCTCCCGGGAACGAGCTGGGAAAAGCTCCCCGTCATCCCCATCCCATCCCTGTATCCCATCCCATCCCTGTATCCCATCCCTGTATCCCATCCCATCCCATCCCATCCCATCCCATCCCATCCCATCCCATCCCACTGCCCGCGCCGTGGGTGTCCCTGAGGGAAGGGGTGTGTTTTTTTTTCCAGGGGGGATCGGGGGGTGCTCGGGGCTCTGGCAGCGGCCCCGGGAGCTCGGGCCGTGTCCCCGGGGAGCGGGCGTGACACGTCCCGCAGGAACGCGGGGCAGGGATCGTGTCCTTTTTAGGGCTGCGCAGCCGGAGGGGGCCGGAGCCGGAGCGGCCCCGAGCAGGTGCAGGAGCGGCCTGGAGCGAATCCCGGAACAAATCCCGGCCTGGAGCGAATCCCGGAGCAAAATCCCGGCCTGGCGAGGCCAGGGAGGGATGGAGGGAGGGAGGGATGGATGGCAGGGATTAGCGGGGCAGCTGCGGCCACCGGCAGGGAGGGGGAAAAGGGGGAGGGAAGGCAGGGAGAGGGTCCCTGGGGGATGAGAGGGAAGGGAGAGGATCCTTGTGAGGTGGAAAGGCAGGGAGAGGGTCCTTATGGGGTGGGAAGCCAAGGAGAGGGTCCCTGGGGGATGAGAGGGAAAGGAGAGGGTCATTATGGGATGGGAAGGCAGGGAGAGGGTCCCTGGGGGATGAGAGGGGAGGGAAAAGGTCCTTATGGGGTGGGAAGGCAGGGAGAGGGTCCCTGGGAGATGAGAGGGAAGGGAGAGGGTCCTTGTGAGGTGGGAAGGCAGGGAGAGGGTCCTTATAGGGTGGGAAGAAGGGAGAGGGTCCTTATGGGATGGGAAGGAAAGGAGAGGGTCCTGAGGGTGGGAAGGAAAGGAGAGGGTCCTTATGGGATGGGAAGGAGGGAGAGGGTCATTATGGGATGGGAAGGCAGGGAGAGGGTTCTTATGGGATGGGAAGGAAAGGAGAGGGTCCCTGGGGGATGAGAGGGAAGGGAGAGGGTCCTTATGGGGTGGGAAGGAAGGGAGAGGGTCCTTATGAGGTGGGAAGGAAAGGAGAGGGTCCCTGAGGGTGGGAAGGAAAGGAGAGGGTCCCTGGGGGATGAGAGGGAAGGGAGAGGGTCCTTATGGGGTGGGAAGGCAGGAGACGGTCCCTGGGGGATGAGAGGGAAGGGAGAGGGTCCTTGTGAGGTGAGAAGGAAAGGAGAGGGTCCCTGGGGGATGAGAGGGAAGGGAGAGGGTCCTTATGGGGTGAGAAGGAAAGGAGAGGGTCCCTGGGGGATGAGAGGGGAGGGAGAGGGTCCTTATAGGGTGGGAAGAAAGGGAGAGGGTCCTTATGGGATGGGAAGGAAAGGAGAGGGTCCTTATGGGGTGGGAAGCCAAGGAGAGGGTCCTTATGGGGTGGGAAGAAAGAGAGAGGGTCCTTATGGGGTGAGAGGGAAGGGAGAGGGTCCTTGTGAGGTGGGAAGGAAAGGAGAAGGTCCTTATGGGGTGGGAAGGAAGGGAGAGGGTCCCTGAGGGTGGGAAGGCAGGGAGAGGGTCCTTATGGGATGGGAAGAAAGGGAGAGGGTCATTATGGGGTGGGAAGGAAAGGAGAGGGTCCTTATGGGATGGGAAGCCAAGGAGAGGGTCCCTGGGGCATGAGAGGGAAGGGAGAGGGTCATTATGGGGTGAGAAGGAAGGGAGAGGGTCCCTATGGGATGGGAAGCCAAGGAGAGGGTCCTTATGGGAAGGGAAGGCAGGGAGAGGGTCATTATGGGATGGGAAGGAAAGGAGAGGGGTCCTTATGGGGTGGGAAGCCAAGGAGAGGGTCCTTATGGGATGGGAAGGCAGGGAGAGGGTCCTTATAGGATGGGAAGGAAGGGAGAGGGTCCTTATGAGGTGGGAAGGAAAGGAGAGGGTCCCTGAGGGTGGGAAGGAAAGGAGAGGGTCCCTGGGGGATGAGAGGGAAGGGAGAGGGTCCCTGGGGGTGAGGGGTGTGCAGTGATGGGGAAGGGGGGTCAGGAAGAGGGAATGTGGGTTCAGGAAGAGGGGAAGGGGGTTCAGGAAGAGGGGAAGGGGTGTTCAGCAAGAGGGGAAGGGGGGTCAGGAAGAGGGGAACGGGGGTCAGGAAGAGGGAAAGGGTCGCTCCAAGCCTGGGATGATCCCAACTCTGCTCCTTCCAAGCCTGGGACGAGCCCAGGTCTTGTCCTTCCCTGCCCCTGCTCCCCTCGGCCCTTCCCGTGTCCCAGTGCTCCCAGTGCTCCCAGTGTGGAGCATCACTGGCTCCCAGTGCCAGGGCCAAGCCTGGGCACCCCAACTGTGCCCTGGGGACACCAGCTGTCCCCAGCCATCCCCATGGTACCCCAGCTGTCCCCTGGGCACCCCAACCATCCCCTGATCACCCCAACCATCCCCTGGGCATCCCATCCATCCCCTGGCCACCCCAACCATCCCCTGATCACCCCAACCCTCCCCTGGGCACCCCAGCTGTCCCCTGGGCACCCCAACCATCCCCTGGGCACCCCAACCATCCCCTGGCCACCCCAGCTGTCCCCTGGCCACCCCAGCTGTCCCCTGGGCACCCCAACCATCCTCTGGTCACCCCAACCATCCCCTGGTCACCCCAGCCATCCCCTGGGCACCTCAACCATCCACTGGGCACCCCAACCATCCCCTGGGCACCCCAGCTGTCCCCTGGGCACCCCAGCTGTCCCCTGGGCACCCCAGCCATCCCCTGGGCACCCCAACTGTCCCCTGGGCACCCCAACCATCCCCTGGGCACCCCAACCATCCCCTGGGTAGCCCAACTGTCTCCTGGGCACCCCAGCTGTCCCCTGGTCACCCCAACCATCCCCTGATCACCCCAACCATCCTCTGGGCACCCCATCCATCCCCTGGGCACCCCAGCTGTCCCCTGGGCACCCCAACCATCCCCTGGGGCCCCCGGGCCGTGGCTGGCACAGGGGACTCGTGGCACTCCCGGGAGGAGCAGCTGGACAGGCAGCAGTGCCGGAGGGGACAGAATTCCAGCCGGGCACGGCCACACTCGGACCTGGCACCGAGGGACACGCCCGTGCCAGGGGACACTGCCGAGGGGACACGGGGACAGGGGACACGGGGACAGGGGACACGGGGACAGGGGGCACTGCCTGTGCTATGGGGACACTGCCCAAGGGGACACTGTAATGGGGACACTGCCATGGGGACACTGTGCCATGGGGACACTGCCCATGGGGACACTGTCTAGGGGGACACTGCCCATGGGGACACTGCCCATGGGGACACTGTGACAGGGGGACACTGCCCATGGGGACACTGCCCATGCCATGGGGACACTGCAATGGGGACACTGCCCATGGGGACACTGCCCATGCCATGGGGACACTGCCATGGGGACACTGCCCAAGGGGACACTGGGTCAGGGGGCACTGGACCAGGGGGACACTGCCCATGCCCAGGGGACACTTCCCATGCCATGGGGACACTGTGACAGGGGGACACTGCCCTGGGGACACTGCCCATGGGGACACTGCCCATGCCATGGGGACACTGTGACAGGGGACACTGCCCATGGGGACACTGCCCATGCCAGGGGGACACTGCCCTGGGGACACTGCCCATGGGGACACTGTCCATGGGGACACTGCCCATGCCATGGGGA